TGGATCGTTGCCCGCTCTGATACCATGTAAGGTATCAGACCTTAATGACATAAACGGAATCTCACTCTTGGAGTGAAAACAAGAAATGAAAAGAAAGGTAAACTGAATAATTCTGAATGTATTGAATCATGAAGAAGAGGATTACAAGCTGCTATATATATAGCAGATGATAAAGACTAGAAAGGATAAAAGAAGAATCTAACTAATAACTGTCATAACTAACTTAATATAGCTTATCCTTTATCAGTAAGGATATCAACCAAGAGTCAATTACAACAGCATAAAATGTACATAAAGCAATTATTAATGTCAAAAGCATTTAATGCAAAAGCGCGCAAATGATACAATTTAAAAGCGCGCAAACAATTAATAATACAATTGAAAACTCAAAACGTTCAAGGGAGTTTTTTTGGTATAAGGAAAATATTTGGATTTCTAAAAGATTAATGTTGATAATTTTATTTATCTATGTTTGATACGGGAAATTCTGAAATTTTTTCCAAAAATTTAATTTTTTTGGAATTTTGATTTGTGAATCATTTATATGTCAAAATGTTATCCAAGGATAGAGTGATATTCTTGAATTCTCGAGTGATGGAAATTTTCTGACAAAAAAATCCCATTGCTCGACGATCATCCCTCAGCACCACCACCATCACTAACTCACTCCTCCTCCGAAAGCGTGGTGGTTGTCGGTTTCATTGCTCAACGACATGACGATTTTGCTCACCTCATTAACCGAGTCATTCAGAAATTGGTTTCATAAAAATATTTTCTCTTTTACCCAACATCCCTTACGTTATGACATAACAAAATTCAAATCGGAAATTGGATTCGAAAGCGAACTTTGCGACCAAGAATTATAAGGCACTGTTGCGGAACATATGAATGCAATGAATCGTGAGTATTTTTTTGGAAAAAAAATTCGTTTACAAACTTTTTTGATAAATTTTACAAATTATACTATCTTATCCCGGGAGAACATAGTGAAATTAGTGTTTTCCCGAGAAAAGATAATATAGTTTGTAAGAGTTTATAAACAAAAAAGTTTGTAAATATAACCTGCTCTATTTTTATGTGCATAAAATAACATTGTTGATGAATCAATCCAACCTGTATCCGTGACTTTTTAAAACATAAACGCATATGAATGAATTCCTGATACCTGGCTTCAAACTTGCAGGGTTATCTTTCTCGTTATTAAATTCAATTCGGACATCAATCTGATAACAGTATTGGGTCATTGATCGGATCGATTGATTCAAATATATATAAAAATATATATAAATATGAACATATAAATTTAATTATATTTTTCATATCTAAAATGAGTTAAATAAGATTCACTAAATAAGCTCAACAATTATTCAATCACACCTTTACAAATTCATGAAGCACAAATAAGAGAAAATGCACGCTATTTTGCAAGTGAGAATACCCATAAGCATACTTCTCAATAACATTCGAAAGGTCACATGTTGTGAAATCATATTTTTTAAATTCATCGACATTGGAATACCATATGTCACATTCTCTTAATTTATTGTTTTGCAAATTGCTTCAGTATTGAAAGCTGAAATTTGAGTTTATTGTAGAAGAATATACTACTAGTAAATAAAATTACAAATTTTTTTAAAATGAGTTCTCCATTTTTTAAAACAATTTTATTCTTATTTTTTTAAATGCATAACTCGAACAGGTCACGGGTCACTGAATTTAACCTAATTTGACCGAATTCAGTGCACGACCAGTCTAATACTTGATTAAAACTAATCTCATGATCGATTCGCCGGTTCTGAAACAATTCGGCCCGATCAAGCTGAGTTTTATAACACTGCATACACTGACTTTTATACAAATCATTTTCAAAAATATCAATTTCAGTTAATATAAACTAGACAATCTCAATTTATGGTCTTAACTAGCCAGATGGCTCTTACACATCCATCATTGGATTGACATATGAATTCAACTTTGATCAGGCCCATTATGTATACCAAAAACAAAATTTATTTACTTTTTCTGACCATAAAATGTAACATACAGAGATCACATAGCAGGGAAACAATAATTGAAGTAATGATTAGTAGTTCATTTTCAATCAAAATATCAAATTGCATCTTCCTAAGTGAATGATTAATTTATGTGAGTATCATTAATCAGAAACTGAAGTAAATCTGCATGTTCCACGTTGATCCTTAAAGTCAAGCGTAATCTCTTGAACCAGCAAGCAATCTCTTAATCAATCTATTTTCAGCTGTCACATAATATTATTCCCTTTTACTCCATTCCTATTGCTTTATAAGTGTTTGCCTAGTAGAGCCACCTACACTTAAGTTTTAGGTATCAAAATTTGAAAGCAACTACTAGTTTTGCGCCCTACTTCGTTTTCCTAAATACCATTGGTGGAATGGGTAAAAAAAGAAAAGGTCAAAAAAGAGTAACACGTTTACCTCCTTTTTGGCTAATCTTATCCTAATTAATTATGTGGGAAATTAGTAAGCAAAAGATTTTCCTAATCTTGTTAAAATTAATAAGCATGTAGTTATTATATAAATATAGAGAATTAATTTTAGATGAAGTACACTGTGATGCTAATAATACGTAGGACTGTAACAAGTCACTCAAATGGAGATTAATTAATTATTATTTTATTATACATATATATAAGGGAATTTACATTTGTTATGTTCAACAAAACTTTTCAACAGATTCAAAAAATATGGGATCCATTTTTTTTTTTCCTGGGACCAATAATATTGGTGTGTCTGCAATGTTACCAATGTTGCATCCTGCAATATTATATTTGTATTTTCCATAAATAAAACGTTGAATAGTTGAAATGATCCAAAAGCAATAGAAAATTTAACTTTTAACAAGCATTGCGAGCCTAATTTGATTTTCAAATACAAATAGAATCACGAGAACTATAAAGTATTAGCTGATATTTATATTTTAATAATGTGATAATCTAAGAGGGTGTGATCATTAGTGGCTTTATAGGTAGACACTTGTAAAGGAGCGGAGAAAGTAATATTCTGAAAAGTGGAAAAAAAAATTGGCTGCTACAGAAATATACAAGTCAGTGTTCCTCTTTTCAAATAAATAAAAAAAATTCCATTTGAATCAAAATATTTTTTACTATTCCTTTTCGAGTCCTCACTTTTTATTTATTTTGGGAGAGATGTTGGTACATTTGTTATACAGAAAGAGCTCTCTTGAAAAGTGGAGAGTCTAAAGAAAATTTAAAGTAATGTATTTTTCCAAATACATGAGAACATTTCATGTAATAGACACAAAACAGAAGTGTGACCCATAAATAAGAGAGAGAAAAAAAAATACACGTAAAACTCATTGCATTCTCATTCTCTGCAGAAAAAACACTTGTTAAACTTCTAAATTTTTACAAAGGGCAAACATTCTCTTATGTTCCAATCAAGGTTGTTGAATCGCAATATGTATTATGTATTATTTGGTCAATTTTTTGAATTGTGTATAGTGAATAACTGAGTCAATTTTTTGAACTGTGTATCGTGAATATTATATAAATTCAATTTTTAAAAAGGATCCAATAAACAAAATACATAAGTAATTAAAATGCAAAGCAATTATTCTCCTATTTATCAATCATTAAGACTAATATTATCACTACTATTACTACCAAGATCTATTAGTGACATAACTAATCCATCATCTTCTTCCAAAAAAGATCCTTTTAGATTTTTTAATTTAAATCACAAATCAAATCATTATTTTTTAATATTAAAAATTACAAATTTTGATTTAATTTTTGTTTCATATGATACATGTATTGTATCATAAGATACAATATCATATCATTCGATACAAATCTATTTTTGATATACACCAAGATATGTATCATTGTGCTTGTGAATTCTATTGTATCGTATGAATCATATCGTGTGTGTATCGTAAAATACTGATAATTATAATTGCGGCTGACATATATCTCCTATGAGACATTTATATGGTGGGATCAATCACCATTATAAATTAAAAAAATTAAAAAACTTTAAATAAAATTTAATGGGGCAACATGAAATGATTTTTTTCATGTAACAAGAAAAAATCACCTCCCTTTTACAAATATATTAATTTACTTGCAAAATTATCATAATCTCTTTCTCTCACACACGTATATATATGGAAATACATTTTCTCCTTTTTAAAGGAGAAATTTTTTCTCATGTTAGTGACTCATAATATAAGTGGGGTCCACAAAATAATGGAGAGAGAAAAAGTTTCAAGGTGGGACCCACTTATGTTATGAGTCACTAACATGAGAAAAATTTACTCTTTTAAAAGGAGAAAATATTTTTCCTATATATATATTTATTGGGACAGCACGAATGACATACGGATTTTTATATCTTCTTAATATGAAAAAAATAAAATAAAAATAAACATGTTTATTGTATATTAAAAAGGTTTTTATATTTTTTATTCAACATGAGAATTGAAATCTTCCTACACATTTTTCGATTTTTATGCTGATGTGAGTCCTGCATATTATTTTTTCTAACATATGAGTCTCACGTACTTTTTGCCTCTACAACATAAGATTTTAATTCTCGTGTAACTTGAGAATTATAAAATCTCATTAAAAATATATTATTTTTTTACTTAATTATAAAAAGATAAATATCGAAAATTTAAATTCATTCGTGAAATATAAACACACATGCCAAATGCCGCCGCTGAGATGAGAGCAGCATATTGGTGGGTCCCACTTCTTCAACTCCTGCCCGTCTTCTTGGGGCAGCTAGTAGCAACAACTCCTTTTCCTAGTCTTCGATTCGATTAATAAAGAACAAAAATTTGTCACTTTATTTTTTAACAAAAACATGATTAATAAATAATAATTAAAGAATGAGAGAGAATCGATAATTGGAATTTGGAAGTAATATTAACTGAATACCTAAATAAATAAATGTGAATAAAATATATATTATTTCCGAATATTTTGTTTTGTAGCATTTGTGTTTGTGTTCAGAGGACCCCATCTCTGAGATTTCTCCGTATCTTTGAACGGAGATTTCTGAGTTCAGCTCAGGTGCTGTGCTGCTGTCTGTGTTCTTTCTGCCACTACTCTCTTCACTTTCCATTCTCATCAATATACGCTTCAAGGGTTCCCCCCATTTTTTTGTTTGTTGTATTTTGATTTACTTCGTGCGACGATTTATTCCTTTTTCCTTCTCAGTTTTAATTTCTGGGTTTTCTAAGTTACCTTGTTTTGAGGGGTTTTTGGGTGTAAAATTGTGATTTTTGGGCTCTATTAGGGAAATTTATCATCTGGGGTGGTGATGGGAAGGTAGGGCATTGAAGGGTGGGTGGTGTTTGGTTCTGGGGTGATTTTGATGATATTTGGGTTTGGTTCTCTTGGTCTTGCTAGAGATGGGGTTAGGTGCTGAGAATGGTAAGGTGGTGGAGTCAAAATGGAGGAGGAAGAAGAAGAAGAAGAAGATAGAGGATGAGGAAAAGAGTGGGTGTTGGGTTAGGCTGAGATTCATGGGTAGCTGCATTTCCTCAAGATCCAAGGTTGATAGCTCAGTCAGCGGTACCAGCACTCATTATGGTAGTTACTATTTCCTTGGAAGAGTTATTGTTCTTCTTATGGTGTGATTGGAAGTTCCATCTATGTAAATGCGTTTGTGATATGTTTTTGTTTTTTCATAAATGTTACTCAGGTTGGCATGCTTTTTTTTTTAGTAGTTTTTAGTAGTTTGTTTTTAGCGTTTGGTCTGCCTGAGAAGTTTTCCTTGAGCACCTTGTGCAGGTTTACTTACTTCTGAACATTACCATGCCAAATAATGTGAAATGATTACGCTTGCTGTGGCAGCCATTCACAGGGCTGCATCCAAACAGAGTTGAAAATGTAGAGATTTATTTACTTAAAAAAGAGAAAAGTTTGAGTTTTTCATATTCCTGCTTCTTCAAAACTCTATACGAAAACATATTCCAAACATAAAGTTAGCCAATCACAAGAGGTATGCGAATGTATATGTAAGCTTCATCACTAGAATGTTTCTTTTATCCCCATGTAGTCTACCAAGTTAACATAATGAGAAACCAGTGTAAATTTGGATTTTAGATTGGCTAGGAATTACAAAGTGTCAAACTTGAGACTTTAGTTAAAGTAATTATTGTCAGATAAGCTTGAGTAAATATTAGAAAGGAAATCGGTCCCAACTATTGTTTGGAAATAACTGAATTTCAAACATAGGCTAAAAAGGTAAATTACTTTAGGTGAAGTCATTGAGTTATTGAATTACTCTTGAGATGGTGCCTATTTCCCCAACTATTCTAAGCCAATACTGTGTGATGCTATGTTTACTGCTTGTCCTGATACCTTTTTCTTCCCTATCTTTGGCTTCTCATTAGCTGAAAGTAAATCAACTAATGATACAAGTAGAGACCAACCAACAGCTCCAGCGGTCTCTTCTACAACCACTAGTAATGCAGAAAGCAATTCATCCACTTCAAAACTTGAAGAGGAGCTTAAAATTGCTTCCAGACTGCGAAAATTCTCTTTCAATGACCTTAAGTTGGCAACAAGAAATTTTCGGCCTGAGAGTTTCCTTGGGGAAGGTGGGTTTGGTTGTGTTTTCAAGGGGTGGATTGAAGAAAATGGAACTGCTCCCGTGAAACCTGGCACAGGGCTTACCGTTGCTGTAAAAACCCTTAACCATGATGGGCTCCAGGGTCATAAAGAATGGCTGGTTTGTTTATTTTAAATAATCCTTCCTTTCTTGTAATATTATCTGCTAAATTCTATCTTTCTAACAACCATTCTTGTTTGTATCATGTGACAGGCTGAAGTAAATTTTCTTGGTGATCTAGTTCATCCAAACCTTGTTAAACTTGTAGGTTACTGCATTGAAGATAATCAAAGGTTGCTGGTGTATGAGTTCATGGCTCGGGGAAGCCTGGAAAACCACTTATTTAGGAGTAAGTTAGTATTTTCTAACTAATTTGTTTCCTCATTTTCTTTTTCAATAATAATAGTTGGATCACTACTGCACTTTGAAGTTTTGACTACATATGTAGAACCCTGCCGGATGCCTCTCGTGAAGCATGGTTCCTTCTCCATCAAAGCCAGATAAAAAAGTGTTTGGCATTTTGACATGGAAAAATATTTTCTCTACATTTGAGGGGAGAAGGGTGATTCTTATTTATTAGATGTAGTACATTAGTGATCTGCCTACTTAAGAATAATGTATAGAACTAACCTATACCATTATAATGATGTTTCCATAAATAATCATACTGTTTCTATGAGTATCTCATTTCTTGCTGGATTTTGCAGCTTTCTCTAACATGTGTAGAGACTGGAACTTGAAACTTTTTGCTGTGTATATATATATATATATATACTTCTTTGATATTCTCATTTAGAAATTATATCATATGTAGGATCCCTGCCTCTTCCATGGTCCATTAGGATGAAAATTGCGCTAGGAGCTGCTAAGGGCCTTACTTTTCTTCATGAAGAAGCTGAACGACCAGTAATATATAGGGATTTTAAAACTTCAAATATACTATTAGATGCTGTAAGTGCCAAAATACTACAATAAGATTACATCTTGTTTCTTTTTGTCAGTCTAATGTCATACAAATTCAGGACTACAATGCAAAACTCTCGGACTTTGGTCTTGCCAAAGATGGTCCAGAAGGTGATAAAACCCATGTGTCTACACGAGTGATGGGAACCTACGGTTATGCAGCACCAGAATATGTCATGACAGGTAAGTTTAGTTTGATATGGCAATTCCAAAACTGCAAGTTTTAATAGTTATTTATCAGTAAAATCACACACACTTCATAGGTATACTATCTGACTATGTTTTGTTGGGCACTTTTTATCTCGGAAGTTGTTAGTTCTATTATTGATGATCACTATCTAAAAATTTCTGAACAAAAATATTTGGAATGTAATTCCTTGTGGTGCTGTTTTATTGTTTGGTGCATACAATGTTCTTGACCTCTATGGGGTGATGCTGATTGTTTTCCCCTTGAGCCAAATTTATGATTTAAGATCATAATTTACTTAGAGATTGTTTGGATGGTGCTAAACGTGCATTTGTGTCAAGAAAAATGCTATTGCTAGGTAACTTGTGCTGTTTGGTTTTGAATCTTTTGATTTTGGGTTCTCAAAATCAATCTTTTGATTTTGGGTTCTCAAAATCAATTGTGCAGTGAGTATAATTGATATTGCGAGAAGTGAAATTTTTTAGCTTCTCCGCTGAGTAAAACTGATACCCATAACATTTTTAAAAACATACCTATATTTATCCTTCAAAAGTGATTCTACTTTACCATCCAAACAAAACCAATTCTTCTTAACTCACTTTTAAAATATCATTCCCAAACACAGATCAATTTTTTTAACATCTATTCTGCCAAAATCTAATCCAAGCAGACCCTTTAGAGTTGTCTATAGTTTCCCTGTCTGCACTGATCAATTGTGTTGATGGGTTTGATAATTTTAGTTGTTGCATTCTCGTAATGTTTACTACTTACAAAGATTGGAGTTCCCTTATATTCTGCTGTTGATTTTCAATCACATTTGTTCCAAATCAAATCCTTTTTTAAATATTATCTAACATCTGTAATATCTAATTGCTTATATTCTAATCAGATTTACTGGTGGGGCAGGTCATCTTACATCAAGAAGCGACGTGTACAGTTTTGGAGTGGTACTACTTGAGATGTTGACCGGCAGAAGATCTATGGATAAACACAGACCCAATGGTGAACATAACCTTGTGGAATGGGCTCGGCCTTATCTCGGGGAGAGGAGAAGGTTCTATAGGTTGATAGACCCTCGCCTGGAAGGTCACTTTTCCATAAAAGGAGCTCAGAAAGCAGCACAATTGGCTGCTCACTGCCTTAATAGAGATCCAAAAGCCAGACCCCTAATGAGTGAAGTTGTAGAGGCTTTAAAGCCTCTCCCAAACCTTAAGGACATGGCAAGTTCTTTATATTATTTCCAGACAATGCAAGCTGACCGCTTTAGAGCAAGCCCAAATACTAGAAATGGACGCCAGCAAAGGAGCCTTTCAATACCAAATGGTACTCATGCATCTCCATATCACCATCAGTATCCCCAACAATCACCAAAACCCAAAGCCAAAGCATAGAGAGCTGGTGAAAATTTCCTCTTTTTTTTCACCCTTCTTTTTTCGCCATTTCTATATTTAATCCGTCTAGATGTACCTTCTGTCAAACCATTTTGTTCATGGACAACTTGAGAGCAAAAGAAGCATGCTGCTTTATGATGTTGTAATGAGTGTTGGCCCGGGAAGAATGTCAGGTGAGGGCTGGGGAAGCTTATTGAGCTACTATGTCTTATGTCAAATTGTCAACCAATATGTTTCTTCAGGTTGTTTGGTAACATTGAACATTATTATATTCTCATCCTTATTTTATTTTGTTTTTCTCATTTGCCCCAGAAAATGTTATCTCTTGATTTCTCTAGGCTTTGATTGTGCTATCAAACACTGCATCTCCTTAAATTAATTACAGGCATTTGTTTATAGGAAGATGAGAAAGAAGCTTTATTGCACTATTTTATGTCAGTTATTTATTCCTGTATGATCCAGCAAATGATTCTTTATTTTGTATATCACGCAAGCTGCGGTTTATACTTTATAGCATCTTCAAGTAGTTAAAAATTCAAACTTTAGTAATTTGGTCATTGATGGTGTTCATTCTTATAACTAAATTTTGTGTAAGATTATAGTGCGTATGATGATGTTCAGGTGTAGGGTAATACTTCTTTATGATTCATTTAATAATTGAAGGTATTTGGTGAAATAAGTAGTTGACGTGGGTAAGCTTTGTCATCATTGAAAGTGGTTTATTAAGGATATACACTTGAATGATGCTCGAGAACTGTTCTTGAGATTTGGTCACACATTTAAGTTTGGTCACACAAGTGCAACGATATCAGGTTTTATATAGGTCCAAAAATGAAAATATCATAGCTATAAATTCGGTTAAATTAAGATATAATCTTACCTCTTGAAATTAATGTGACAAGAATTACAGTGATCAAATAAATGAAAGATATAGGCGCGGGATTGTTTACCGGACTTTCAGCAAAAAAAATATTTTTATTTAATTCATTTTAAAAATAATTATTCATATTAACGTGTTAACCAATCACGGGTTGGGTTAATGAACTGTTCAACTTGCCACACAATAACAGAGCATAACTATTGTTCCTACGCTTGGTTGTGTAGGATTGCTTAGTCACATTGAAGGGCTGCATGGTTAACCAATCACGGTGGTAAGAGTAACTACAAAAGTACTTGAAATGAGTAAAAGAATGAAGTATGAGTGAGTTTTTATGATAGAAAAATAACTTACCTTAAATTTGTTAGAACATCCCTTATATATAGACCTAGGGACGTGCTTACCCTGTTACACGGTTGTGGAAATTGTACGTAACTTCATGGTCCCATAATGCAGGTGAGAATTCCATTACATTCTCAGCCAGCTATGTAATGACAAGTGCCCAATAATTGTAAGGATTCCTTGTAATCCAAAAAAATAAGCTGTGAATTTATTATTATTATTTTTTGTACTAACTTTTGAAAGGAGTTTTTAAATGAATGGAAATAATTCATCTCATGTTAAATTTTCACTACCTGAAATACTTCTCTTCGGATAAGTTTTCACAAATTTTAACAAGGTCTAACCTATTTAACGTTTATTAAGAAGGATGTCCACTCCCAAATATATAAACAGCAAATATATAACGCAAATATTTATTTATTTATTCTTTTGGGTACAGAATTTAACAATAAATCAAAGGCCAGATCTTTATTTTTGGACTGAGGCAACACAATCAGTGGATCCTAATACCATCCAGCACGTGGAGTGACCCATGTTACCACGTACTAGAGAAGGTTCAGGCAATTTAATAAATCACATTTAGCTTAAGGTTGCGGGCAGGATCTTATTCCTTCTGTTAAAATGATTTTTGTGCAGTGTCAGTAACATAGGATTTATGGATATTATTGGTAGTCAGAAACATCAGGTATGGAAGCATATGGTTTTCATGAGAACATAGATTTGGGTAGCTAGAAAAAACTTTCCAAAACTGTTTGGAAGCTCCAAGTGCCTCAAAGGACCAGATCCTTCCTGTGGCTTCATAACGCTTAAAGGTTAGTTGGTGTGCACCTCCAGAGGGAGGGGGTGGAGCAAATTTAATGTGTATGGAACTATGGATCCATTTTCTCCAATCAGCAAAAGGATGAGTCTTGAGGCATTTTGAGGAATGAGCTTGGTGGTTTCATTGCAGGGGTCATGGTCAATACTGGTAATTGTACTATAACCATGACCGAGTTTTGTTTTGAGGGGTGGGAAGTGTTTCTTTCATTGTTTGAAATTGGTTGATAATAGTAATGTATTTTTCTCCTTTGCAGTCTCTTGTTTGTTTTTATTTTTTGGCCTTTACATGCATTAAGATCATGAATCCTCTCCATCTTTGACCATATTACCTATTCAAAGCTCAACTATTCCCTGTAATTTCTCTTTCTCAAAAGCACACAGAAAAGCAAAGATCAACAAATACCTCAGATCCTTTAATTCTAATTTAACACAAGATTTAGCCCTGGTGGGATAAGAAGAAAGGCAGAAATTGAGGAAAAGGATATCTGATCTTTATTTATATTTATTTATATAACATTTTCTAAATTACTCAATCCAATTTAATAATGCAGTATCTACATGATTGGAAGTGCATGAAATCCAAACTTCCAGAATATAACATGGTATAAAATGTTATGTGTTTCCCCATGGGGAATTCATGGTAGAGACTAAGATGAGCCTCTTATGAGCCTGCTCTGCTCAGCTGCTCCTTGGATGTGCTTTCAAAGATCTTGTCAGCACTTGCTACCTCAAAACCATCCCTTCTATGGAACTCTTTAACCTGTTCCATTAGTTAAAACAAGAATTAGCATTCCTGCAGAAAATGTCTTGAATTCATATTAGCATGTCATTCAAATTCTTAAAGTAGTTCACAATTTGATCCTAACCAAAAGACCGGTCACAAAATCAGTCTTAGCTGTCAACACCCGAAGATAAGAATTATAATAAAAAGTTAAAACATGATAGGCCAAAGAAAGATTGCTGCTTACCTCTGTGTGAGGTAAATTTTTATACTGGGGAAGCACTAGACGCTCAGCAAATTCAATATATGAGCATGGAACTGATTCAGTTGTACCATCAGAAAATTGGAAAGAAATTGCATCTGCTACAGTTGAGCTTTGCAGGAGAAGACCATCAGGGCTCACTGGAAGTGGAGGAAATATTCAAGTCATTCACATGATCCACGATAGCAATGGACTACAACTTGCACTGATCCTCTTCAACTTTAAGGTAATATATCCTTATGTTCTATGGTTAATCTAGGTTATTATGGCTCATTAGTTTGGAAAATGCTGCATGCACTGACAATATTCTTTTTCCAATTCTAAATGCAGAAGCCTCTGATCAATGGAAAAACAACTTTGCAAACAAATTAAAAACAGCTTCTCTCCCTCTCTTTTAATAGATAGAATTTTCAAGAGAAAAGGGCTCGACAGAAAAACTGCAAGATTTTTATTTCCCCGTGGAAAGGGTGGGAAGAATGAAGACAGATTTGATGAGTAAGCCTGAACTTTTAAAAGGGTGAGTACATGCAGGTATGAAAGGAAAATAGTCATTTCTGTTATGCATCATGAACCAACCGTCTCAAAAGCTTAAACTGTTAGGTAAGAACACAAATGGTTTCATATTACATCTGTTACGCACCTCCTCATGCAAGAGCCTTATGGACTTGAAGTGTGAATAATGCACAAGCCCACCTACCTCATGCTAAAATTCAATTTTCTATTAGAAGAATGGGGTGGTAAGGAACAAACTTTATGCCACTTGGTCATAGAGACTCTAATACTATGTCATAAACCAACTCTCCCAAAAGCTTATGGTATAAAGTGAAGACACATCAATAGTTTTATATCACATCTCTAACACTATGAATGAAATGAATAAGTGGGTATTGCTTTCACTTCTATCCTCATTGTTTCACATAAGATAGCAATAGCCTAAATCAGAAAGAAATTAGCATGAGCTAGTCTTACCATTGCACATTGAAAGCTTTTATTTTGGTTAGAAAAGATCCAGAAAACCTTATAATTGCAGAATAATAAACAAGGGTACAAACCTTTCAGTACTCCTCCTTCAGAATTCAATCTGAATCCATTGTCCTCAATAAACTGATTTAGTTTTTTTATATCCCTCAAATGAGTTTTCAGCCGATGAGTGGAAATAGTAACATGGTTCAGTGCATGCCCATTGACTAGGGTCCAGGCAGCATACTCACTTTCACTATGCATCAAGTATAAAACCATAAGCAAACTAAATGCTAGAAGAGGGTAGTGACTTTCCTCAAATAAATATTTCTAGGCATACAGATAGTAATACCTTGCCAATTGTTGAAACTCAGAATATAAGGGCTTTTCCCATGTTAAAAGTCCCAGAGAACTTGCAAGAGCAGCGTATTTGCTTCCGTTACTAGATGACTCAGTGTATTTTCTAATTATTTCCTGCAAGAAATTCGAACCTTCATTTAATACAATCATGCTTTTGGAAGTTGGAGCCACAATGCAGCTGAGATGTAACTATATAAGTATAAAGGATTGGTGTCATGCAATTATGTATATCACCATAGATATGGATTGCATAAACAACATATCACATCTCAATCTTAATATATACTGAAGTAACATATGTTAAATCCTAAGAAATGAAACCCCCACTCTTTGTTTCTCAAATTATCATTATCATAATAAACACAACTACTAGCCACAAAACAGATAATATGACAAAACATTGCCTTACAACCAGCTTTTGGCAGGTGAGTAGAAAACCAGATACTTCTACAAGCAATTTCTACTACTGGAATTGTGAGAAGTCTATACTCTTGGTGTTAAAGTTCAAATGGTGAGAGAGAAGATAAAGTGAGAATTAACAAATATGAGCCTCAAACCCCCATACAATTAAGTGAATTTGAGAAAAGTACGCAGTATACTTTTTAACATCATACCATTGTATATAAGAGCGGGAAACCGAAATAGCAGTTCGATTTCCACATAAAAAGAAGCATAGCAACTATCATGGTAAAAGGTGTTCTATAATCATATTAGTTTACTAACTTTTGAATCTAGTTGCAAATAAGATGGAGGGAACCAGTCTCCATCACAATCATGTAATTCCTAGAGCATAGATGCAGAATGACAGTAATTAAATTTTTTTCTCACGAACACACCTGAGTTTGCGGACTCATCTGATCTACCAGTAGCTCTGATATAAATATTCTTGGCAAAGGCCCATTAATGCCACTGCCACCAAGTGAATCAGCAGGAGGAGAAAACCACAATGCCCTCAACTTTTTGCCAGGAAACCTCAACTCCTCCCGTTGTGTATAGCCATAATCCAGAAAAAACCTAGCCATGGAGTCAATCCCATAACAATTCACCTGTAATTAAGTGTACAATACACAAGAAATGAGCTAACTAAGTATAATTGAGTCATACATAAAACTATGTGTGTGGAAGGAAATAAAGCCAGAGAAATACCCCAAATGTCCTGAATGCAAGATGATCATAGCATAATGAGTTATTCTCAACAGAATGAACAAGGTCCAATATGGCCTTTGCTGTAGGATTTCTATTCAAGTACACGGATTGCATACTTTTCAGCACGCCCCTGAAAAAAGCTTCACCCCCCTACATACAGAGAAATCATGTTGAAACTTGGGAAACTGAGAATCCAGACCACAACAGAAGGTATAAACAACAAGATCTCAAATTCATCACCACTATTTGCATCATCAAATATCCATTAGTGACACAATCAAGAATCAAATTCCTTCTTCTTCTTCTTCTTCTTCTTTTAATCATACCCCAAGGAATAATTTAATGAATAATAAATAAATCAAGTCCTTAGGAATTTTATTTTGTTTTGTTTTTTGTTTTTTTGGGTGGGTGGGGGGTTATGTAATATTATTAAGCACTCCAATCAAGGCCGAATTGAGGGTTAAGAATTCAAAACATGAAACAAGAAATCTTATTATGAAATAGAATCAACAAATAAAGAGCTGAAATCATATAGAACCTGAATTGATGATCTCTGGGATCCATGTTCTGATTGGGAGCTACAAGACACAGAAAGGTTTCTGCGTGGATTGGTTAAGCGTGAGGTCAAGTGCCCCGGGGAACATGGCACCGTCATGGGAACGAAATTCCAGAATTTGGGTTTGGAAGAGACAGAGGTTCTGCGGAGAGAAAACAAAGGTGACAAAGTGGATGATTTAGTAGTTGTAAACATGATGATTCAGTGGCTACTGAAACTGCATGCAACTTCAATCTGAAGAATAGTCTTTAAGGCTTCTACCAACAGTGGTTGCGTCTTGTTTTGTCAATTGCCACTTAAAGCCACGCATGAGTTCCCTGTCAACCTTAAACATATCCGCATATGACACAGTTGTCCTTATCTCCAGTACACTCATTCGGCTTCCAGTTATTAGAGATTAATTTTCTATTTTTGTTTTTTTGTTTTTAAACTATTAAATATTCCAATTTAAAGCACATATAATTAAGAGTTATACTTAAAACGTCAAGTGCCTATCTATTCACTAGTGTGGACATATTAATATATTATACATAACGAGGAAAAAAAATTAAAATAATGCATTTAAATTAAATAATTACGCATTTAATGTTGTTTTGTAAAAAATTACACATCTACTACACAATGTGACGCCACTTTGGGGCGTCACAGAGTGGCTTCACATGTGTGCTCTATATATTTCCCCACCTCCTTCATTCAATTCATACCTCTTCTCTCACTCTTCATATCTCTCTTCACGACTGAGATACATATTATGTCATTATTTTGCTGTTGGTTATGTTATTGTATGAATTGTAATGTCCGTTATGGAGGACTTTTTACGATCCGTTGATGTATGATTTTATTCTTGTATTATTAAGTAATTGATGTTATTAGTTACCGTAACATAAATGCCCAAAGAACGACAAACAAAACATAAATAATAAAGCATAGTGAGTAGTCCAAATAATATAATAATGTAGCTTCCACAAAATAACAGCATGCTACAATCATAACTAATACAAAATAACAAAATAATAACAATATGAAACAGTCCACAACATAGTAAATACTCCAAATGGCAATGAAACTACGACCACGGTGGCCAAGGCCTATGTCATGCATCCCTATCTGGCAGTATCCGTCTGTCCCAGACTGGGTCTCCCTGATGCACCTGTGCCTGTGGTGGTGGAGTGTGGAAGTCATCCACGGATGAAATCATCTGATGGTCCTGCACTACTGCCTGGCACATCAAAAGGGGTGTGTCCCTGACTGTGAGAATCTGTGGCTAGAGTCTCCCCACTGTCATGGCTCTCTGTAACCAGGCCTACAGAGCGATACAACTCAATCGTGTCCTCTGCAGACCAAAAGGGGTAATCGGCATCAAGTCCCTGTGAATATGGCTGGAAATCAGGCTGCGAGGATGCCGGATCCGCTCCTGCCATAGCCATCGGACTCGCCTGGAAAACTGGCTCCTGTCCACTCATGTAAGGATGCTCAGACGCCGCCTGACTAGGACTTGCCGCATACTGCGATCCGTGATGATAAATCGGCTGTGACCCGTAAGTAGGACCAATGACTGGAGGTCTGAACCATCCCTGAGTCTCGACCACTGGTCTCGGTGCCATAATCGGGACTGGCTCAGCAGCAACTCTCTCACGTCTACGTCCTAATCCGCGTCCCTCCCGTCTATTACGAGGAACATCCACAATCAACTGAGGATCAGGATGTGTCTGCACGAGGGGTCCCCTCTCTCTGAACCACTCCATGTACGCATGATTAGGTGACATCAAACCATATAATGGAGGTGGCAGTACAATATGCTGAATCCTGGTATTCCATCGATCAATGTGAGCCCTCAGCTTACGTCTCCAGTTCTCTTCAACCTTCCCCCGTAGAGTATGATCATGTATTCCTCTCAACTTTCTAGATTTATCCGGGATGGGTTGATCAAGACCGAACTGTCGCATGCACCTATCCGGTTGACATGCCTCTACTGTGTGGAAGTAGATAATAGGTGTGGCAGCAAGCCACAGGTACTGCTGCTCTAGAGTCATGTCAAGCCACTCATAATCGATATATGGCTGCCAAACCACCTAAAAAAAAAGCGAAACAATATATAGAGTTACAAAAAAAAATAAACCCATAGAGAAATAACAACATCCTAAGTATCCAACACCTAACCTCATCTCTACAGAGTGTGTCCAATGTTGCCCGATAATGGGTGACCTCATGAGGTTTAAACTTTTCTACAGTATTAAACTTGTCAATCAGAAACATTCATTATCAATCATAATAAAAAAGTATACAGTTAGTATATACATTATAAACCATACATTATCGAAATCAAATGAAGTAAATAAATCATACCGGCATCCATAATGTGTGCCCGGCTCTGGATGAGGAGGAAGAGGTGGAGCAATGGGTGGGAATCGTATCCATGCCCAAATTTGAAGGAGAATATGGCAACCACCCATGTCAGTTCGACGGGCATCTGTCAATTCACACAAATTCCTGAACAAGTGTGTCAAAACCGCAGATCCCCAGCTGAATCGGCCAATGTCCTCAAATCCTCCACCTAGCAACGGGACAAGCCGGCAACCAAAATTGCTACCTCCAGACTTGTCCGCCAGCAACCAAGTCCCCAACATCCGGGAAATGTGGGCTTTTGTGAAGTAGATCTCGACAGCGTGATTCCCCTCATGATCAGTCCACTGGGTATAATGCCAATCCAAGAATGAGATGCGGAGGTCGCCGGAATGATGGAACTCACCGGCCTCTGGAGCATGTCCAAAAACAGCAGCACAAGCAGCGTGCCAATCCTCAGAGGTCGATCCGGTGACGACAATGCCGTCAGTCGGCAAGCCCAATATGCCTGCCACATCTTGTAAGGTGATTGTCATCTCACCTTGGGTCATGTGAAAGGTATGTGTCTCTGGTCTCCACCTCTCGATATCGATCTGTGATAAATTACGCAGTTATCACGTGTTAACGAATTTTATTGAATAATTACATAAATACAAAACGACGTAAATAACATACCTGGATATGTTGCATCCTGGCAACATGTATGAATCCCGCCTGTCTTAGGTACTCTTCGACAACCTGTGGAATAGCACTGGTAGGTGGCCCCCCTTGTGGCTTCCCACGCCTGGTCTTAATTTTTCGTACATGCTCTGTATTCCACACTCGCTGTGAAATATGAGCTTTTTGCGTCCTCTTTCGAAGGACCTCCCACCTGTACGGCCCAGGTATGATCCACATGCTGGGATCGGTGAGCTCTACATCCGACTCAGATCCCGATGAAGATGATGACTCAGCCATTATCCTCAACTATAAAATATAAAACAACATTTAAATTAATCACATGTAATAACCCATTTTATTTACAATTTAATTAAGCAGTGACATAATTGATTATCACTAAAATTAAGCATATGCGTCATTTATTTAAATAGAATCGAAATTTATGAAGTCCCGCCAAAACGTAGAACAATTATTTATTTGCAATTAAATAATAATAATACATCAGACAAAAATAATATAATACTAACTGAATACTTAACCCTAGGTCACTACCAACTTGTCCAATACGTACTAATCATCACACCTAACTAACTACAAAGTTATGCACTCCCGCATTAATAACATCATACATACGAAATTTACGAAGTCCCTAACACTATTTATAAATCACTAATTAATATGCTAAACCCTAATGCATAATTAAAAATTAATAATAATAACTACGTAATAATAAAATTACTATATCATTACAACATTCATAGCATGCCACAAAATTTCTAAGTGATTATCCTAATGTTCCAAGTCTCTAATATACAATCAATCCTAACATGTATTACTAACTAGCACTGTTATTTAAATGTATACATATGAGGTATTATGACCTTACCTACGTTGACAGAGCTTCGTTACGAACCGCGGTTAGAGAGGTAAATGAATAAGGAGTGAAAAAAGGAAAGTGAGGTATATATAGGTTGCACATGAGATGCCCAAAGGTAGCGTCTCATTGTGCAACATATATGTAACTTTTTACAAAACAACGTTAAATACGTAATTGTTTAATTTAAATGAAATTATTTTAATTTTTTTTCCCAATGCAACTTCAATCTGAAACTGAAACTGCATGCAACTTCAATCTGAAGAATAGTCTTTAAGGCTTCTACCAACAGTGGTTGCGTCTTGTTTTGTCAATTGCCACTTAAAGCCATGCATGAGTTCCTTGTCAACCTTAAACATATCCGCATATGACACAGTTGTCCTTATCTCCAGTACACTCATTCGGCTTCCAGTTATTAGAGATTAATTTTCTATTTTTTTTGTTTTGTTTTTAAACTATTAAATATTCCAATTTAAAGCACATATAATTAAGAGTTATATTTAAAACGTCAAGTGCCTATCTATTCACTAGTGTGGACATATTAATATATTATACATAATGACATTCAAGTAAATGTCATGATGACCCAAGCGCCACGTTTTGTGATAAAATGTATCTGTCGCAGCATAATTATTTTCTCAAAGTGACACGCGGCCAAAGTAGCTAGAGACTTTGGACGGAACATATGACATGTTTATTAGGAGAATATTTTTGATATATCAAATACATTGAATTTGGTACATTTTTTTATTAAATTTGAATTTTTTTGTAACGTGGCAGAAAATAAAAAAATTTAAAAGTGATGAATTTATTTTTCAAAATTGAAAAAAAAAATACCAAATTCGATACATCTGATATATCAAAGACGTTCTTATTCATTGGCTACAAAAGTCGTCCAACACAGTGAATTTTGTGGTCAAAATAACAAACTTTGTGCATACCAAAATAGTTGGAGATTAGGTTTTAAGTTGAAGTCTTTTCAGTGACTATAATGTCATATGTTTGATCCTCATCGCTCTTCATTTTTTAGTAAAATTAAATAAAAAACACAAAAGATAAATCAAAAAGTGAGTTTGTGTATTATTCACGCTTTAAGTTCAAAAAGCTCTTACATAAAGGAATAAGTGATTTTTTTTATAACATGAAGTGATTTTTTACAAAAAATTTTTACCATGCTCCCGACTCATCGTTAATCCAGTGGTCCTTTTTCCAATAAAGTAGAAAATTTTGTTCCATTTCTATCCGTTTTTCCCCTCTCAATCCCTCTCCTTTGCTATTATGAGAAGGGAGTATTGTGCTTCAGACCCACAAAAAAAACCTCTCATTTTTTACATAGCTACTACAGTGGCAGATACGTGTCACATGCAGACCAAAGCAGCTATGACACGTAGCTCCCATAGTTGACAAAAAGTAGTTTCCCTTCCCAATGACT